ACCTTTGGAGGAGGAAAAACAAAAAAGACTACCAAACCAAAGTGTATACTGTACACTTTTGTCCATTCTCACTGCAATACTTCTAGTATTTCCATTAATGCAAGATGGTACTTACAGTGTGGGAAAAATTGACAAAATCAAAAAGAAGAACGTCACACTACTACTTAGTAATATAATGGTAGGTAAAGGAAAAAAGCTGACAAAACCATTTATTTCATTTTACTGCAATATGTGTTTGATAAGTAAGGAAGACACCAACATTTGCTCAAATTGAGAAAACTCATGAGCAATCACAGCACCTGAAATTTTACGGAAAGAAATATTTATGAGAAGAGAGGATAGATAAGATGCATGTCTTAACCCATGCATTTAAGCTCTCCTCAAAGGTGAAGTCTGCACTACACAAATAAGGAGAACAGAGAACGGATCATATTTTAAAAAAGAAAATTCTTTCTATTTTGCTCATGGCTGAAGCTTTCTCGGCAGTAAGATATATTTAAGAAAAATGTTAAAAGTGCATTCCCATAGCTAAAACAAAAAGAGCAAGAAGCTAACGCAACTGAATTCTCTGCATATTTCATGAAGAAACTTTCATATGGATTGATATTTTGTAAAATTTACAAGAGGAAAAGCACTTTCTAAGACTTCCTCTCTAGATACTGATCCCTTAACCTACCAACCATATTAACTGTACATGGTAAAGGATGCTTTAAAACTGGCAAAAATGTGTTTAAGCACTTGGTCAGCCAAACAGCACTTTTTCTCACAGAAATTATTTTACTCACAACATATTGTTATAATAATAATATGTATTATAATTATAATAATACTACCTGCATTGTATGAGGAACCACTTAATATTAATGGTGAAAGAAAAATACCGTCTTGCTTTACATCAGAGCTAAATGCCATTTACCAAAAGTGCAACAACACAGAGAAGGTAAAAATTTATCATATAGCATAACACATACACGCACAAATCTTAAAATACTTCATGGCTATAAATTAATTGGAATTAGAAGTCTTCTCCCCCATCCCCAGTGGTACTAATCAGCAGGATACCAAACGGGAATACACTATACTATACTTTTCTTCAGTCTAAATAACTATATTGTCTCACTTTACTCCTCTCTACTTATCTATGCCAACTTTATTTAAACTCTCTGCTTACATAACAATTCCTATACTTTAAGTCAGTTATACTTCTCTGTAAATTGATTTTTTTTTTCCCAATCAAGAGATGCATTAACACTTATTGGAATATAACACATCAGTAAGAGTGAAAGTATATGATCAACCTACAAAGCAGAATAATATTTTCCATATTAAAAAGAAGCTAATTATGATAATGAAGTGTATCATTTTCACTATTTTGCACTGGACATGGACCTTTTCAATCTGCCAAAAATCATGCTCAAGTCCTTTAAGTTACATTATTCCAATATGTTTCATCATCTTTTTCTCTAGCGATAATTTCTTATGATATTTGTTTATTCAAATAATTCACACTCATTAGATCCTTCTGGATCTAATACTTATACTGCAACATACTGATGATCAGTTCATTTCTGAACAGAATTTATATAACAAAAGGGTCTAGTTCCAGATATCTTCTCCAGATAAAGCAGCATGTAGACAACATTTTCTGTCAAGTTAAGAGTTTACAGATGAAATTGCAGAAACGCAAATGCTCTTATGTAATTCTGACAAATCACTGTATGGTACTATCGGTATAGACCAGAACAATGCTTCCAGCGTAAACATCTGAACTGCAGAAAGATGTGTTAGATCTCTGCTCTCTTCCTAATTCTTATATAGACTTCCTGCCTCTCAAATGTGTTTTAAATGCATCTTCCCACTAATGAACACTGGGGCTGGATGTAAGAAATTCGTATCTTTTTAATCCTACTACAGTACCTTGGGCTAGTCTACTTAAGTGTAGTTAGATGGAGACAGAGATGAACAGACATCCTTGCAATGGACTGAGACTGAAAACGTGGATTTGTGGATTTTTCCCACAGCTAAATACTTTTAAAAAAATAATATAACAGTAGAAGAATCTTATTTTTGTCTCTATCTCCAGCCTGTTTAAACTAAACTGTGAACTCTTTGGGGCAGGGAGCTTTACTACACATTTACAGATTGCCAAGCACAGCCAGCCTTACTAGATTAGCTCCGTAAGTGTCAAAGCAGGTCCAATGCAGTTTTCACTCGGAATATCATCATTCCAGATCAATGCATCAGAAGTCTGTAAGTCAAGTCATCTTTGTTTTATGAAACACTCATACCAAAAATCTCCCACTTTGCTCAGTAATGAAAATACTACCTCCAATTTTCTTCTCTAGTGAAACGACAAGATTTCTCCCCTGGAAAAGGGGAGAGAACTGGATGAAGCCCACCTTGACTTTAGCAAGGCTTTTAACATCCTTGTATCCAAGCTGAGACATTATGATTTAGATGGGTGGACTACCAGATGGGTGAAACCTGGCTGGAATATCAGGCTCAAACGGTAGTAGCTAATGGTTCACGCTCTACCTGAGGGTCCATTACAAGCAGAGCTCCTAAGGGGTCTATACCAGGATCTATCCTTTTCAATACCATTATCAATGATCGGAAGAAGGAAACCAAATGTGCCCTCATTTATTTTGTGGATGACATTAAATTGGGGTAGGGAGAGGTGAAGCAGACAATACATTTAAGGACAGGGCTATCATGCACAGGGACCTATGTAGGTTAGGAGAATGGGCCAACAGGAACCTTTCAAAATTCAACAATGACAAATGCAAAGTCCTGCAACTGGGATGGACTAATCCCCAGCACTAGTACAGACTAGGGTTTGTAATGGCTGGGTAGAAGCTCTACAGAAAAGAGCCTTGCATTCCTGGTTCACAGCAGGGCTAAACATGAGACAACAGTTTGCTCCAGAAGCAATAAATGCCAGCAGCATACTGGCCTGTATCAACAGAAGCTTACGTAGCCACGGAGGAACGCAGTTAGCTCCCTTGACTCGGCAGTTGCTCTACCTATTAGGAGGTTACCATGAAGACAGACCCAGATTCTTTACAGCAGTGCGCAATGGGACAATGAAAGACAACAGTCATAAACCAAAACAGAGGAGGTTCTAACTGAATATAAGGAGGAAAAAAAAAAAAAAAACCACCATGAGGATAATTAAGCACCAGGACAAATTACTCAGAGATGCTGTGGAATCTCTGTCCTTTGATGCTATCAAGACCTGACTGGACAAAGCCCGAAGCAATCTGGTTTGATCTTGGTGTCAACTCTACTTTGAGCAGGAGGTTGAACTAGATGAATTGCTGAGGTGTCTTCCAAACTATGCAAGTCTATGAATCACTTCAGCACAGCTCTTAGAAGTTACCCTTTGTGTACTGCCATCAGGAGAAACTTATTACAAAACTAATTTTCTAAGAGTTAAGTTATCCACCTTTCATCTTAGGGTCTGGAGTTCTTTCTCATCCAAGTGTAATCTAAGAAGTACAATTTGATAAAATGTAGATTCTTAAGAGGGAAATCTTAACACTCCCCCCAACTTTTTAATCATTATGAAACAACTATCCAATACAAACACTGGTAATGGAGAAGCAACAGGTAGAGCAAAATGGGAAAAAAAACTTTTTGTTTAGTTTATCAGTCCTCTGAATCCATACGCTGTTATGAAATGGTACAACTGTTTGGTATAGTAGAAGAAACAAAGAAAAAAAAAAACCACAGCCATTTTGCATATGCAAACTATTTTATATGCCCACAAATTCTCCAGTAAGTTCTCCCCACGACTGTTAGCTTCCTGAGTTCTTTGATTCTAAAACTTCACTCATACGTAGACAAAAACTTGGTCATTTGCATCATACTAATTTTCCATTCTGAAATCATAGATTAGTTCTACTGTGGAAGTTTCAAAAGGAAGAGATAAGCAAAGTATTCTACAAGTACATTAAAACTACATAAAGATTAACATTTTTGTTGTCGTATCACTTTCAAATCGAACTTTACTAGAGAAAATGCTATCTATAGATGGAAGTAAAGAGAGTAGATGAAGCTTGGGTAAAGGCAGTAAATGAAACTTAAAAAAATAACTGAACAAGTCCAAGTCTTTTATTACATTCACATCATAAAAAAGTAACAGACCAAGAACTTTGAAAGCCTCCAGATTTTATGAGACTAAGTTACAGAATTTTACAAGCTTAAATCTCCTTGGCAGCAAAATACAGAATTAAAGTTTCTTATGGGAACATACTTCAAGTACATGTTTAGTTATTTAAATTCTCAAAGCAGACAGCAAGTTTTAAGCTATGCCACAATCATACATTGAAATTAGTTATTTAATGAGTTGCAAAATCCATTTCTTATTTTAAAATGTATTTGTTCATATTCAGCTATCCTTTCAAGCTGTAGTCAACAAAACCAGTGCTACAGCACTTACGGTTTGGAAAAAGTATAAACCCAATAATTTCTGTGAATATTATTATAGTGCTACTATATTACTGTATCTACCTGGTACTGTTAAGAATACCAATTGCAATTAAGAACTCAATATTTATCAAAAACTATCCCAAAATAATGTATGAAATTACTCAAAAAAGGACACAGGTATAGTATATGTGTTGTAGAAACTAAGGAATGTTCTGACTTTTCCGTGCTTTGTACCGTTTTTTGTAAAGATAAGGGTCATCACCAAACAACTAGCATTGGTAAACATTTGTAATCAAGCATGTAAGCAAATAGAGAATCAAAAAATCTTATAGTGAAGAGATAAGACTGTTAACTCCTCCCACACCCAACTGCCCCCAAAACAACCAAATAAAAGAGTTCACACCATATTACTCTAAAATTTAGTAGGGATTAGGCTCAAGAAGTATCACGTTCACCCATTTCATTGTAAAGACAAGTGTCACAATGAATTCCATGTAGTTAATAAGTAATAAAACACCAACAGCTAAATTGTAACAGCCTTTCAATCCGCAAAGAGGCATCACAGTTACCTGATCTAAAAGGTCTTCAACCTTTTTTTGCCATCCGTCCCTGGCTGCATTTTTTTCACGTTCTTTCAGCTGCAAGAGCTGAGTCATGGCTGCCTTTTTATCCTCTTCATGCTGAAGCCTCAGCTCTTCACGAAGCTTATTACATTCCTGTCTAAAATTAAAGGTCGAATAATTAAAATATCTTGTATATAGAAGTATACATAATCTAAACTTGTATATTTAATACCTTGACCTCGTATAAGAAGTGAAAAATACATAAGAAAAAGTGAGCAGCAGTTTGAAAAGCTTAGATAGTAACAAAAATCTTTGTTTTATGTTTCACTTGCTATAACATTTGTGTACGTTTTCTTTCTTATTGAAAGAATAAGAGACAAAAATTAACACTTGCCGAAGATTTTCTGTCCATTTTATTTCCAAGTCACGGGCCATTCTGTCAACTTTGAACTTTTCCTCCTCTCTCATGGCAGCAATCATTGCCTCATGCTGCTGTCTCTCCTGATCTAGTTCTCCCTGCAAATACAAACTTCACAATAGAGACTGATCAGCAGCAAAAAAGAATTTCAAACCTCAAATGAACGCATTTATAATAAAATGTCAGTTACAGTTGACTTACAAGCCTTGAACTATAACTTTTCACTGTGTAATTCATAATTACACCTGCTAGCGCCTTTACTTCTGCTGATATTTCTTGCTTACCAGAACATAACTGCATTCCTATAAAAAGCACGTTTACAGTAAGTAACTTTGGAAGTTATCATTGCAAATACCGTTACATTGAATCACAACATAATTTAGGTTGGAAAGAACCTCTAGAGATCTTGAAGACCTGTTCAACACAGGACTAACTTCAGATTTAGAGCAGGTTGTTCAGTGTCTTGTCCTGTCAAGAGTTCTTCCGAATTTATTTTTTTTAACCTGTGAATATTCAGTGCTTGAAATTCAAAGCTTGAGCTATTCGACTAGGTATAAAATTGATATATCTACTGTCAATTTCTTGACTGTACAAGCTTCGAAGAAACATAGTTTTGGTCTGAACAGAGAAAAAAAACCTGCAGAATTCATATATCAATTTCTGTTAAAATTTTACAATATCAAAATAGTACTAGATACGATATAAAATTCATACTTACATGAATATTTCAGCAGTGCTTGCTTTATTCATGAAAAAGAAACATGACCAGAATCTAAATTTAATTAGAGCTTTTCAAGTGAAAGGGTCTTTGTAGGCTTTTTTTTCCACATATATTTTAAAATCTGCTAAGATAAGTGCCATTGCCAGTAATCCACTCTATATGAATATTTAGATGTTACAATATTTGAAAAGAGAGGAATCCAGCATTTCACATGGAAGTTTAGAGAAATTATAAAAAATACAGGGGAAGCTATAAACTATAACAGGGTGCACACCCTACTATCACTGTTGAAAAAAACTGGGAAAAAAAAAAGAATACTAATATCCTGCTTTAAGGTAATTTTATTAAGAAAATACCAACCCAACAACAACTTTAGGGATATTTTTCTTGAATAATTGCTGCTCTACTTCAAATATTTGATGTGATCCTATAAATGTGCATTGTTTATTGAGGGGGAAAAAAAAAAAGGAAAGGTTATACTTAGTATTAAAGTTGATGAGCTATTGGTAGGTTAACTGACAGCTCCAGAACTTTACATTCCTGTCATTGCTTTTCTTTTCAAAAATTTAATAGAAATAAAAGAATACAATGAAATACTATATCCCATTCTGACAGGATTTTACTGTGGTATGGTGTAGGTGAAGGCAGCCACAGTACTCTAGAGTTCAGAATGCCAAATTTCCCCACTTCACAACAAAACCGTTTTTAGAAGTTGATGTATTTTAAATAATCAGTTCTGAGACTCGTCTTGTGTGTATAGAAGCTTTATACCTTGTATATACTTTGTGCCTAAATCATAGGAAAATATATACAACATACTACAGTTTAAATTCTACTAAATAAATTACATTTTTCCCTGTTCTCTCACTGCAAATGAAAGGGGAACTAATTTATGATTATTAAGTAGCATATTAAGTAGCATAGTTAAATTTCCACATTAAGCATGGGGAAAAATTCATATTTATGCCTAAACATATCTCATACGTCCAAGATACCACACAGGGCTGACAAACAACAGGACCTGCACCTTTCTAGAACAAAAGCTGGAGGCCATTCAATAGAGGTAACGTATTTAAAATGGCAATATGTATCTTTGCTTAGACAAATTAATTGTTTCAATTGTGTAAAGTGTTCTAACTTTCCGGATGAAAGTCTGCCATTTTTCAAAGTATATCATATACCTTTAAACTGTTTTCAAGGATCACCTAAAATTCTAAATTTGGGCCCAAAATGATCGTGGCCATTATTTGAGGAAAAGATGGTATGATGTTAGGCCTACATATAAATAAATAAATAAATAAATAAATAATAAATAAAGGTTTCAGAGAATTCTAGAGCTAATCAGCTCTAGGACATTTGTTCTGCACAAAGACATGAAACATAGATCCTTTCTGCATTCTCATTAAACTTGTAACTCAAGCTTCTGAAAAACGTGATTCTGGATATACTTTGTAGGAACATACTGTGGCAGCTAAAGTTTCTATTGACCAGAGAGATGTGTTTGTAGCTATAATCATTTAACAATAAATATATTCTCTTAAAAAAAGGTTTTTCAGGTTTTTGACCTCTACTTGAAAATGAAAAGGGAAAAAACGTCTCTTTTAGCGAAGCCACAGGAAACTCCCTTTATAAGAGGTATATTAGAACACTTCTTGCCATTTTAAAAACAAGACCAAAAAATCACTATGACAGTAGTTTGCATAATTTATTCTCCAACATTATGGTTACCTCAACGTTATACAACGAATCTGTGGTTTCTCGCAGTCTTGCTCTAGTTAATTCTAACTCTTTTTGGAGTATTTCCTGAGCTTCTTGAAGACTGGAAATATGTCCTTCTGCAGTACCAAGGCCTTGCTCGCTTTTTCTTACTAGGTCTTGTAGACGACACACCTACAACATGCAACAACAACAGCAACAAAAAATTATTTAAATATTTACTACTAATGGCAGCCAAAAACACCACTGTGGTTTCATTTTCTTCTAGGGATTTCTAATTCCATCCTAAACTATTTCTTTTCATTGCACAGCCTCTTCTCCTTTTCTAATCCATGATCATTAAGGGATATAAAATGAAATTCTGTAATATTATACATTTAGACATAAAGACTCAGATTAAAGCATTTTTACAAAAAAAAAATCCAACCTATATTTGAAACATTTTGCAAGGAACGAGGTTATGTAAAAGTTCTGAATTACCTGTAATTTCATTGGAAGCATGCTGTATGCAAATTAAAATCATAAGAACCACCATTTTGAAATGCATAAACTCTTAACCTGCCAAAAATATTCACATAGCTCAGATACCTGTGTTCAGATAAATTAACTTGTCCTAGCATACATTCTTCTTTGTCTTCACATTGCTACCTGCCTGTGAACTAGCCCATTTAAAGCTCAAATATCTGTAGAGCACAACGTGATCATTTTCGTAACTGCTACGTAACAATGTACTTATCTCTGCCTGTTTGTGCTTCAGCTCCCCATCTCTCAAATAATAATAATATTAGAGATTGAACATGTTCACCAACCACAGGAAAGTAAAAACTGCTTAAGTACATAGGCTGGAAAAACAGAATAACAAGGTGAGGGGAAACAGCAAGGGGAAGGTACCAAAAATCACAGCAAATAGGAAATGAAGTTTCTGCAGAGGTCTACGTCGTTACCTTTGTTATGTTAAGCGTATCTCAGAGAAAGATTAAGTCCTAAGCACTTTTCAGTGCTCCTCTGCACTATATGGAACTACAGCTAGTAATTCCCTACAAAGTACTATTGCCTGAATGAGAATTCCTACTTGAAAAATGAAAAACTCAAAAAACCGCCCTGAAAAATGAGTGATACCCTCAAGCTGCATTATTCTTGTTACTGCTTTTGATATCAACAGTATGCTTCTAGGATATTCATTCATTAGTCATTTTGCTGAGACTAGTTTAAAAATAAGTCCATTACAGCCAAGCAAAAGATTGAACTCATCAACTTGTCAAATTACGTACTCAAAAATAAAACTATACTGAGACAGAACAGAATTAACACAGACTGCATATATAAATATACTGATCCATGGCAAATAATTTTGCTCTTATTACAATAAGGATTACACATCATCTTTCACTGGAAACACTTGAAGACCATCTGCACGTAAGGAAGCTAACCAGGATTTATAATACATTAATAATGAACAAATATGTGTTTAAAATACAGGTTAATTTTTCTCCAACTGCCTCTCAAAATATTTTGTGTGTAGATCCAAGTACTTAATATGAAGATAAGCAGAGTTAAAATAAGCAAGACTGTTTACAGAGATTCTTCTTTACTTAAATCTCTTTTGTTTCATTATTTTTCTAAGAGGCAAAATCACTGCTCAGAAGCAGTCCAGTAACTTCTCATATGTGAAGGATATTTCACTCTAAATGGACATAAAGAGCTACGGACAGGCTGAATAGTATAAGCCTAACCTAGTATTGGACTCTAAACATGAATCAAGTATGAGAACACTATTGACTAAATGTAGTCTAAGGCACAAAACTGTTAGTTGATATGATTAAGTTAATTTTTGCCTCTTGATTGGCCGAAGTCAGTTTGGTTGTTAGCTCTTCCCGCAGGTTTTCCAGCTGCTGTCGAAGCTGACTCTTATCCTCCTCCAGGTGTAGTTTTTCCTTCTCAAACTGCTGCTCCAACTCCTTCAGAAATAAGAAGAATGGAAGAAACATCAAACACCTGCCTTAAGGTCATTGCATAGTACAGGTGTACCACACATTCTTCTTTTTGACATAACTAACATTCCTAACTTCAAGAAAGAAAGGTCCTTTCCTTAAAGCGTATAATAATAACAATTACTCCATGTTACACTGGTCTTAGTTTTTCAGTTTATTTTGTTATCTAACATCCTTGATTAATCACAAAATAAAGACATATAGGACTTTTTTCTACTACTAGCTTCAATTTGCACTGAATTAGCAAAACCATTAAAACTATATCTACTTTCATATTCCTGAATTCTGTTAACTCAAACTGAAAAGTCTTCAATTCTTAAAGAACTGCAATGATAATATGCATCTCTTTCAGCCTTTATCAATCTACATTTTGCCATAATCCCCAAAGAAAATAGTAGAACTTAAAATGTTTTCCCAACGCTCTATATGGATTTTATGCTGTTAATATGAAGGGGAGGGGGGAAATAACAACAACTACATCACAACCTGCATATTGTAAAGCTTACATATTTTGCATAGACTGTTGCTTTCTTTGGATTCTATCTGTAAGTTCAGCTATGATGAAAGAATCAGATAACACCTCTTTTCATCCAATTTCTGTGGAGTAATATTAACCAAATTCTGAAAACAATTCTATTGGGTAAATTATATTTCTCTTACATAAGTCTGCGTCATATACATCTTTTTTTTTTTTTTTTTTATTTTAAGAACACCATAAATTTATGCCTCAGTTTCACTTTGTTAATACTCAGAATATAAAGCATTTTCACTTGAGCAATTTAATTTTACATAAATACTTAACATTAAATATATGGAAAAATTAAGAGCATTACTACATATTTTAGTGGAATATACCCTAAAATGTGTTATACCACAAAGTCACCTTTAAGAAAATTAAGGTTGCAGGTATCATGCTCCAAAGCTAGGAAATGAAAGACTTATAAGCTTCTATGCAGCTACAGGCTCCTTTATTAACTCCCTCCTAGAAATTCAGCTGTCACACAAGGCCTAGCTTTGATTCAGTGCATCTCTGTAGTCCTTGGCTCAGATTTCTGAGAAATCAGTAATGACTCAGAAATGGCTATGAGAAAGCATGTAGACTAGAGCCATGCAAGATGCAACAGGTATAGCTGCAGACATCGGTAAGATTGCTGAGACAGGGAGAGTTAACAGCTCAAGAATTCAAGAGGAAAAACGGGAACCATAGGACAGCAAAACTCAAGTGTCACTGAAAACCAGCCAAGAAGGGATGGAGGCTAACGCTTCCCCATCTGATTAACAACTGCCTGGCCAGCAAAGACTCCTCAGGTGTTTCACTGGGAATGGTAAGCACGTTAAGCATAGTAGCTCAGTAGTTCCAGCTCTCTATCACTGCGTGCAACAGGTAATATATATTTTAAGTTGCATATATCCTGCCTGCACAATCTTTTCGTGCATGGCAGAAGTTGCTTCCACAAGGTGACCAAAGACAGAGGGTTACAATTTGTATAATACGTTGTCATACAACATAATTCAGCAAGTGCATGCTTTTTTCACCAGGCCCAGATCATTCAGCACATGGCACAAACGGTGCTCATTAAGTAACACTTGCTCAATTACTACTTGCTCTCACTGTGAACTCTGCAGTACAGAAAATTTCACTGGTGTCATTCAAACCCTATTCTGATAGCTGAATAATTGGTAATTTTATGATACTGTCAGTACAGCTGCGCAGTAATGAAAAATTATTAGCGGTTCTACTTCCATAATACTCCTATGAACTAATGCCACTTTTACAGTTCATTTTTATAGATGGAAAAATTGAAGCTAAGAGCTATTAAAGCCATTTCTTCACAGAGACTGGTTCTCATCCTTTAGAATTCTCTTACATGTCCCAGTCTTTCCAAAGATTCCCAAACCCCAGATGCCTTTCCTAGTCTTCCAGTTCCAATAAATTCTCATGTCCTCTGTCCTATAGCTCCTTGTACCATGCTTCTTCCTCATATTAGGTTCAACTCTTCTTGGCATTTGATGCAGCCTGTTTCCTGAATTACCCGAACACCACAACATGTCCTGGGGGTGACAGAAGAAACAGACTACACTGATTATTAGAAAATGGCAGAATCCAGAACTCAGTAACTGTTATCTTCCCTTACTAGAATCAAATTTCACTTATCTCACATTAAAAGAGATGTCTCCTATTTCAACTTACTTAATGACCTGAGAACAAATATTTTAAGATCCCCTTTGTTTTATTCTCTAAATTACTTTTAATGTCTCACTTAAAAAAAAAAATTGTAAGGTAGCTAGAACACAATTAGCTAAGTAAATTGATAAGAACATCACTGCTGCAAACATTTGCTACATTAATCCACCTGAAAACCATCAAATGTTTTCCTCAGGCAAAAAGAAAGACTATAATAACTATGTATTGAAAATCACTACAACTTAATTACAGAGGGCAACAATGGCACTTAGTAAATTACTCCCTCTAAGCCATCAGTGTCTATAGCAAAAATACTGAACACCACAACATGTCCTGGGGGTGACAGAAGAAACAGACTACACTGATTATTAGAAAATGGCAGAATCCAGAACTCAGTAACTGTTATCTTCCCTTACTAGAATCAAATTTCACTTATCTCACATTAAAAGAGATGTCTCCTATTTCAACTTACTTAATGACCTGAGAACAAATATTTTAAGATCCCCTTTGTTTTATTCTCTAAATTACTTTTAATGTCTCACTTAAAAAAAAAAAATTGTAAGGTAGCTAGAACACAATTAGCTAAGTAAATTGATAAGAACATCACTGCTGCAAACATTTGCTACATTAATCCACCTGAAAACCATCAAATGTTTTCCTCAGGCAAAAAGAAAGACTATAATAACTATGTATTGAAAATCACTACAACTTAATTACAGAGGGCAACAATGGCACTTAGTAAATTACTCCCTCTAAGCCATCAGTGTCTATAGCAAAAATACTTTAACAGAACTATATAACAAGAAAAATCTCTTTACTTCAAAGTTCAACTATCTATGGCTAAGCTTGTCATGGACATTTCCTTCCGTTACATCTCTAGTGGTTAGTATTAAGGGTCTGATCTAAGGCTCAGTGGCTCCCGGAAAGACTCTCCTAACTTCAGTGAACTTCGACAAGGGTTCCCAAATTTAGTTTGTCTGAGTACCAGGACCAGTAGCAGCTTTAACAGGCTCCTGCTGGGTGCCTGCCACATAATGAGCTGTTCAGGGAACTTCCACTTACACCTTTAATAAATATACCACTACTGGTACCCAACGACAGTTTGGGAAACTAAGCTTAAAATTTTCTTTTCAGCACTCACGTAACGGCAAGTAGGACTGAAATCAAGCCCACGTCAAACCCAAAGGAGTATGGATAATTCCCCTGTATCACAAATGTGATCGCCTCTTCTACAGCCTTCTTGGTTATGTTGTAACATATTCAGCTTGCTTAGATCTTTCTGATAGATTCCAAGCTTTGCAGGTGCATAGAACTGGAGTCCACAGAATTGCAGTTTCCTCTGCTGTATATCCCAAATACAAATGTAACATAGAGTAAGTCCACTTGAGAGACACATAACAGGGAAAAAATTCTCCGTCTTCTACAGTATTCTATACTAATCATGACTCTAACAAGAACCATAATTAAACAACATCTGTAAAAAGGAAAATGCCTTGTCCCTGTAGCCTCAAAGTTTTACTGTATCTGTTAGCATTCCAATGTTGTTACTCCTGTAATACCCAAATACTTGAATTAAAAGTATATTGGATTGGTCTAAATGCACAACAATGAATAGTTTTAATTTTAATCTGAACCATCATTTTTGATAATACCTTCATAATGCCTTTATCCCTCTTTTTACTCCTTTGTATCCACTTAATATTCATGTCTTAAAAATTACATCTTATGTCAATAATTTACATTAGCAGATTTCTGCCAGTTACGATCAAGATCATATTAACACGTATGTATAACCTCCACGTTCAATCTACTTTAAACACAAACTACTTCAACTTGGAAACAGTCTCACTTTCAGGCAGTAAAAAGACATTACAAATAAGCAACAGATTTTTGTTGGCCTAAAAAAGAGCATGTTACTTCAGAACTTCATGACATATCAAAATATTCACCACTGAATGATTTCTTTAAATATGAGGGACATTGTGCTTCTTCTGCATTTGACTTTTTCTTCAAATGGAAATTCCTCAGAGTGAGGGTAGTTTTAGTAGTTAATGCAGTTATTCTCTTGCTCTCTAACTCATTTCAGATATTTTATCAGCACTCACTGTACGATTCACTAATAAGATTCCAAAAGTTGAAGCTAGTGCTCAAGACCACAAAAATAAGAATTTTCATCTATCCATTTGATTTCTCCATATTTTAGGATTAATTTATACTAATCAGTACTGCTTGGAGTAGCAGAGAGAATTACTTATACATGAACAATTACATTATGAACAATTCCTGTACCCTTTCTTAAGAAAAAAGTGGAAAACTAGTTAAAATACAGTTAAAAACTAATTTTTCTACAGATAAATATTTGTTTACTGAACCCATAACTAATTCCTCTTCCACCTCTCCTGGGAAGCTTGCACGCTTGACTGGCTCTCTGAAATGCCTGTACACCAATGCACGCAGCATGGGGAATAAGCAGGAAGAGCTAGAGATCTGTGTGCGGTCGCAGGGCCGTGATCTCATTGCAGTGACAGAGACATAGTGGGATAACTGGCATAACTGGAATGCTGTCATGGATGGCTATGTGCTTTTTAGGAAAGACAGGCCAGGAAGGTGAGGTGGTAGAGTTGCTCTTTATGTGAGGGAGCAACTGGAATGTATGGAGCTCTACCTCGGGATGGA